GAGGGGAGAGTTCCGAACGGCGGCGAGCGGGGCTTCGCAGCCCCGAATGCGGGGCCAATGGGACGAACGAACAGCGGTGCGATGGCCGCCAGTGCCGAGCCGCGGCATCGCACCATCGGATGACCGACGAAGCGGCGGGCGCCGGCGGGAAGGCGCCCCCGCGACGATGGTGGCGTCCGCAACGGCGGCTGTTGTGGCGGTGCTGGGCCCTGCGGCCTGAGCGAGAAGGGGCGCTTGCCCTGTGTGCGCGGCTGGAAAGCGAACGCAGGGCGGCCCGCAGGGAGGGCAGCGCTCGTCACTGCTGAAAGCAATATCAGCGATAATCCAGTCACTGAGATACGGCGTGGCAATGCGGCGACTGTCAGGGCCTTTGAGTCAGGCCCCTTGACTGTGCTTGATTCTGCGGAACCTTGTGCACGCGCCCAGTGGTCACCCACGAGCAAGGCACGAGCACATTCGCTCGTCCTTCGGGAGCAGCGCCGAGCCATTGGCTGCCGTTGCAGGTGGCGGAGTGAGGATGACTGTGCGTCGTTGTCGACTGTGGGTTGTCTTGTCGACTCTGATCTACACCTGGGCGGGAGATGCGCCAGGTGGGCCAAAGCCTTGCATTACACGCTAATGTACGTAAGTTTCTGCAACCGATGCATTTGGCTGTTGATTGCATGGCAGCGACGATTCGTTGCTTGTTTTGTCGCGATCACACCATATTGGATTGTTGGCAACGATCCATCAACGCATGGCTGTGAATTTCCACCAAAGGACACGGCTCGTGTCACGCTGCAAAATTGGCAAGATTCTCCTTGCCTTCGGCAATTTGCTGCTTTCAGAGCGGCTGTCTCGCAGGCGGTAGTGGCCCTTTCATTAGGATTCTTTTCTTATGCGGGTGGGGTGGAGTGGGCATGGGGCCTCGCGCCGCTATATGGATGTCTACATTTCGTACCTGAGGACCCCCGACTTGGGTTTCTACGATAAAATATCGAGTGAGAGCATGCCATCCGTTGTACTGCTCTGCTGTATGGCACTCCCGCCTACTAACTTTCTGTGTCAAAGTCCCTCGGGAATGCAAACTCTGACATAAGCGCTTTCCATGGCTTTGGCTCCTGTTTGTGGCAGGTTCTGGAGCAGCGCCCAGCTGCTCGTCGCTGAGAGGGGCAGGTTCCTCTTCGCCGGAAACAATAGTCGTTACCGACGCCATGCTGCAGCACGTCGGCAGTGACGTCCAGTTCCTGGTGGACTGCGCCCAGCCTCATGGCGCGCTGCTTTTTGCCACGCCCGTCGTTCGGCCCTCGGCGCCTATACTGGTCGATAAGCCCATGACTATTGGCGTCCGCAACGTGACGAGGGCGGCTATCGAGTGCACTCCGACAAGGCTCGTTTTCGACATACGGTGAGCTGCGCTGATGTCTGCAACTTCGAACCTGCCTTGATCGGTGCTGCACGCTGACGGCCTACCTTCTGCGTCCTGGCACCGCGCTGGCGACTAATTGATCGAGCTCACTCCTCGCAGAGGGGTTCGCCTGTTCAAGCGCAGGACGTGCACGCGATTTTGCTGTTGTCGTGTGGGAGAATTCACTCACGTGTTGCTCGGTTCAGGTCCAGCGGAGTGCTTCTGGAAGGCATGGAATTCGCGAACTGCGATTCGAAGGCGGGGTCGCCCATCGTGCGGATCTCACAATGCTATCGAAGCTCCGGCGGCGTCGCCATTGTGGACACGACTTTCGGGGCGAATGCGAACGGAAACGGCACCGCTGGAATCGAGATCTCCTCGCCGTGCCTCGTGACGATTCAGGGCGCGTCCTTTGTAAACAATCGTGGAGCCGTGGGAGCCGCTGTGGACATTTCGAACGGGGCAGACGTTCGCATAGACTCCTCGACATTTGTGGGCAACGTTGCACTGGAACGTGGAAGCGCCGTGGCGGTGGCCAATGCAAACGTTTCTCTCACGCGGTGCAACGTTTCCCGCAACGCCGTGACCGGAAGCGCTGCAGGAGGGGCGATATTTGCACGGGTGGGTCCTGCGCTTTTCGACTTGTTCGACTTGCGATGCTTGAGCGATGCAGACTCTAACTTGTTGCATAACAGCTTCTGATAGAAAAACGTAATGCCAGTATTAGCATTAGCCAGTGATGCACACATCATCAAGTTTGCAGTCATACATTATCTTTTGTTTGTGGCGGGTGAGATGGATTGGGGTGGAGCGGATGGGATTGGGGGAGAGCAAGCACGTCAGGGAGCAAAGCCAGGCACCCCAGAGGTATGGAAATGTGTCCGTTGACAATTGCAATCCCTGTCGTGCACGAAACAGGGAAGCGCCTCTGTCCATCTCGACAACTGCACATTTTCGCACAATCAAGCTCCGCGCGGGGGCGCCGTATACATAAAGGTGAGTGGCCAAGTATACGGTGCACAATTGCGAGTCATTAGGAGGTCTGCAGTTCTGGTTCTCTATTGGATTTCCTCCCTTCCGCGCATGGAATAGATGGGATTGATGTTTATAGGTTTGGATGTGCTTATATATTTTCCATATTCAACCTGGCCCTCAATTTTGGCGCTCAGGCAACAGTTTTCGCCTGAGCGATGATGCACAGGCAGGAACGAGATGCAGTACACACAAATGTTTGGTTGTGCTGCGATGAGTGCGTGCTTCCCATTGCGCCGGGCTCCATCAAGCTGACGTCGTTGCAAGCAGAAGTATGTTTGAACACGTCAAGAATGTTGTAACAAGTATGCGCAAGGAGATGGTAAGAACTCACCGATATAAGGATAAAGGCCATTTGATAAGACAAGGAGGAAATTGCTTTTGCTCTCCGCGGCGAGAGCTCTTACTGTCGCCAAGAGAGCGCCTCATTTGCTTAAATGTCAGGGTACCTCTTTTGCTAATCGCGTGGCAGTGTGATTCCCGACCAGGAGTTCACATCGCTCGAGTCGAATGACTGCAAATTCCACAGCAATGCCGCCCAACAGGGAGGAGGGGCGATTATGGCCTTGGTGAGCATAAAAATTCGATACTCTCTGCTGTTGCGCCACGGGATCTCTGTTGCTGCCATATTTGCTTATGTTGTGTTGCGTCGCTAAGAACGTCGATAACATCTGGTGGTGCTAAAATGATGGGTCCACATGCAAATTTCTTCCGATGCATTGCTTCCTGCTTTTCAAGCTTCCGAATAAACTGAGTTTCCCGTTAGCTTGTTTGGAATAGATTTGCCTCTGTTAGGGGAAAATTGGACATATTCTTTGGCGCACGAGACTTTGCTAACCTTGGTCTGCCGAGTCGTAATCCAATACTGCGCCGGACTGAGGTTGCGCCTCTCGCAACTGTGCAGGCGCCGGTTGACATTAATTCCAATTCCAGAGTGGTGTTGAGCAGCACGACCTTTATCAACAACACAGCGGGACTTCTTTCTCCGTCCAAAGCCCTGTCTCACATGCACCTGGAGAGCGGCGGTGGAGCACTGTACTTGGGATCTCTTTCCCTACTGGACAAACAGTTCAAGCCAAATAGGCCCACCACCGTTTCAAAAGGGAACATCAGTTGTGAAGTGAGAGATGTGGAATTTATTGAGAATTCGGCTGTATATGGAGGCGCAATTGCCTCCATTCGGGTGTCTAACCTGTCCACGGCATTTAGCAGATTCTCAAGAAACGGGGCGAGATATGGTGGCGCAATGTACGTCGAGTCGGGTGGCTCCGTCGAGCCACAGGTGGGTGTGAACCCAGAGCACTACGTCACGGGAGTGGACACGGTCTTTGACGCCAATGTTGCGAATCACAGTGGCGGGGCGCTTTGTCTCCACGTGCGATTTGGAGCGGCCCCCCTGTCGAGATCAGGCATTAGCCCCCTCGGTATTTCTCGCGCAACTTTCACAGACCGCGGGATGGTCCCCAACAACGAAGATGACGCCTTCTTTGAGAGCTCCACATTCGAGAGCAACAGGGCATCCGTTGCTGGGGGTGCGTGGTACGTAGAGAGGGGACGAGCAGGGTGCAAAGACTCTGTGTTCAGTGCTAATTCCGTCAAGTTTGGAGCCGTTGGTGATGGAGGAGCGATATGCCTGTGGGATCAATCTGCGTTTCACGGCAGAAACGTGTCTTTGGTCAGCAACAGTGCTGGCTGTGGCGGCGGCCTGAGCGCCCGAGATTCTCTTGTGGACCTCGTTGAAGCGAAGGTTCGAGGCAACACTGCTGAACGACATGGAGGAGGTCTGCACATTTCTGTTGAGTCGGGGCTCGGCTTCTACTTGAATCGCCTTGGACGTGCTGAGAGGGCCTTGGTGGACAACAACACTGCACAGCTCGGAGGTACCAAGCGTCGCTCGGATGCTATTTGTTGCTGAAAGCGAGCGAACGAGCGTGGCGGTCAGTAGCTCCAAGCGTGCAAGAACGCTCAGCAGCGCATCTCCCCAAAGCAAAGTATGTTAATGATGCACTGCATAGAGCATGTTCAAAAGGCTTCCAGATGCTTCCCCAACTTGTCGAGGCCGTCTCGCACGGACCTCGAAATCGAATGAAGGACAAAAAAGTCCTATTGGTATCGCGCGTTGCATGGACGCTGCTCTAGCGTTTGCATGTCCATAGCCATGAATTAACCTGGCAGCTCCTCCCTGCATCCCAAAGGCTCAGCAAGGCTTCTTCCCATTATCGAATCTGTGCGCTGACGAGTGGTGCCAGTGTGGATGGATAAGTTCCTGATTCTTTCGAAATATTGTCAACTGCGATTAGCAGGAGATGCAGACACGAAATGGGCACAAGTCATTTGCAAACCAAGGATTTTACAACACATCACCAGGAATCTGACTTTGCAAAGTGCGCCAGGTTAGAAACCGCTAACACAACATCAGCATTACTTGTCCCATCAACTGCGCGTTTGGCATGGAGATTACAACGCGTCTCCTTAACGACATGCGTACCCTGACGATCGTGTGCACTCGATTGCCTCAGGTGGTCTATTCCTGCAAATTCAGCCAAGCAGTTTTGGCGAATCAATCGCCGCAACGGCCTTCATGGCATTGAGATCCAGCAACTTCACAAACAACGTTGCGGCCGACAACGGAGGTGCTGTGTTTACGAATGCCCCGACAGCCATAGAGTTGTGCTGCGACTGCACCGTTGAAGTGGGCGAGGACACGAGCAGCCTGGTATCGCGCCAGGGGCGGTTTTCTTCCGGAGGAGGCGTAAGCGGACCCAGTGTGGCAGTGCGGAGGGGCATCTTGGATCACCGTGATTTGTGCAATCGCACGTGGTTTGGAAACGGCGTACGCGAAGATGGCTCACGCGCGGTGGCTACTACTGCTGTGTCTGCGAGAGTCTATCGTCGTGGAACAAGCGCACGGATTGATGAGGACCAAGCCTTTAGCATCTTGAACCACAGCAGCGGCACCTACCTGGAGCCATTCGACATGGTCCTGTTCGACGCCTTCGGCCGCCCCACAGTCGCGTATCCACGCACGCTGATCCGCGTTGCTTCCGGCTCGCCTGACGTGGCGCTGTCCGGCCAGCTCATCACCGAGGCTTCGAGCAGGACAGCTCTTTCGAGTGTGCACCTGCTGTCCAGCATCGGCAAGCGGCACAACTTGACCCTTTACTTCGAGCCTGACATTGGGCGCAATATCAGCATTGGGGTGGACGTCCGAGGTTGCCTGCCTGGCGAGTTTGCGGTGGATGTCGAGGGGGTCGGGGCCGCCCAGCACTGCAATGTTTGCGGCGATGGTTTGTACAGCTTTGATCCTGCAAGGCAGAGGTGCCTGCCGTGCCCTGCGGACGCCGATTGTGGACCTTCGACGGTCACTCCCAAGGAAGGATTCTGGCACTCGACGTCGCAATCTACTGCAATGCGCGAGTGCTTGGTGGAAGGCGCGTGCGATTACGAAAACAGGACCGAGAAACTGGCGGGGCAGGCGTGGTTTGCGCATTTCCGCGGAACAATCTTAAATTCGGCAAACGAAACTGCGTACGAACAATGTTCTTCGGTGAGTATCGCCTCCTGAGAAAAATGCGCAAGACGCAAGATTTGGGGTTCCGTACCTCTCAGCCTGACAAGATGGGCGCGCGTTGTGATTGCGACCAAGCCCGGGAGAACGCCCTGAGTGCTTTGCTTGATAACATTGTGCCGAGAGGATTCGCGTATCTATTTGTGAAGCGATTCGCCCTTTCTGTTTCTTCAAAAGCTGTGCATTATATGACTCACTGCACTCCCCGTTGAGACCAGGACCTCATTACGCATGTAGTTTATATTGCAGTGGTTTCAACCACCTGAAGCCTTGTCATAAAGTACGCTTTGGTGTTTTGATTACGAAAGCCCGTTCTAGCAAGGGACGTGCTCAAATTCTGGCCTCCACGAGCCTTCAAGTTTCTGCCAGTGCGAGGGCTTACCGGGAGAGTGGTTTTGGTCAATAATTTCTTGCCGTGTTCGTGTAACGCTTTCGGAAATTATTGCTTCACGCAGCATTGAGATGTTCCTCGTGATGTTTTTAGGGGTACCGCGGCATGCTCTGTGGCTCGTGCAAAGAGACGCATGGACGGGCGAAATCTGGCGAATGCATGCGCTGCAGAGGCACCGCAGGGGATGTCGGCATTGTCGTTGGTCTGGCTGTGTGGTTCACGTTAATTGCCGCCTTGATGGTGACAAACGCGTTGTCGACCGACACAACCGGTGATGCTGAGGACGGCGATGGCAATTCACCGGAGCAGGAGCAGAGCTGCTCCACAGAAATATTTCAGGTGAGTCATACGAGTGCAGCACAACGCACCAGAACGGGCCCCTGTCAAATCATATCATTGCCTTCCGAATGGCTGCTGAGATCTTCACCGACGGTCGCCAATTGCAATGGGAACGGCTGTGCGCAAATTTATCTTTGATCAGTGGTGCCATGCAATTCGCTTTGTGGAAGAAATGGCCATTGTAAAAGTCACCAAACCGAGCTCTGTGCCGCGCAGATTCTCATAAACTATCTGCAAACACTGGGGCTGGCAGTCGCAATGCATACCAAATGGACCAGAGCTGTTTACCGAGTGCTCGGGATAGCAGGTGGGCTCATTAACTGGTATTGATTCATCACGCACGTTGTGAAATCTAAAAATGGGCAACGGAATCCCAGTCGACTCAAAACACGTGGCGTTTGTGAATCAGACTCGTTTCAAACAAAGCCTTCCCTTTTTTCTCGAAGGCGAATACATTCAATACGCACTGAGCATTACTTCTATTTAATGCGGTGAAGTCGCTGCCATTTCCGTGTGGATTTTTGCATGTGCATTACAGCCGCATCAGCCTAACCCTCCCTCAGTGGTGAGGTGCCCCCGCGAAGAATCCTATAGAAGCAAACGCACATATTTCCTGAAAGCAAGATGGACGCAGGAAGGCAAGCATACATTTTGGGCTGCGCGCGCTGATTGTTCGTCACCCCTTCGTCAGAGCTGTGCATTAGCGTCGCTACCCGTCGGCCGCAGCCTGCGGTGCATGCCAACGGTGGTTTCGTGAAGGGGCCGAGAGAAAGCAATCAGGGAGGGAGCAAGAGAGGGAGGGAGTGATGGCAGGGGAGGGATACTCTCCCGTTTTGCCACGACGGAAATTTGCCCTGGCTAGAATGTCCTGCTGACTCAATCACCTGCTCCTGCGAGGCTCCTCTGACCGGCTGCTCCCCTCCGATGTGGACAAGCCCTGCCTTGTGTCAACACCTCTTGCTCCAGTGTGGATATAAAAATGGAAAATCGGATGCCACGCTACATTCAAGCTTGCAGCATTGCCCGCTCAGAAGTACGCCTTTGTTGAATGCGATGCACAGTATGTCGCCCTTCGTGAACATGGTCTGGGACTGGGGACGCTAATGTGCGCTTCAACCGCGGAGCGCGCGTGTGGGGAGCTCCGCATAGGCATACGCAGTTCACGTCATACTGTGTGCCTGTCCGATCCACAAGCATCTGAACTCGGCTGTCTGTTGCCTTTCAGCGCTCGTATCCACGGCGGGGGACAACGTCTTTTCCTTGGAGTGCGCAATGTCCAACGAGTCGCCGGCGCGCCGCTCCATTTCCGAGAGCGCAGTCAGCCTGGCATTTCCCTTCATAATGATCGCCCTGTTTTCTGCGGCCTGGTGGGTCCTGTGGCGCGTCAATGGGAGATCCATGGGTAATTTGAACCGTTACATTTGGGTCTCCGTGCTGTCCATTCTGAGTCTGTTCTATTTGGACATCGCCGACAACTCAGTGAGGATACTGAACTGCACCTCGGTGGACGGCGAGTGCGTTGCTGGCAATCCCGAGGATGGGTGTGGGGAGCAACCATCGAGGCGCTGGACAGAAGATCCGGATATTGTTTGCTGGCAAGGCCAGCATCTCATATTGGCCAGTTCGGCTGCCGTTCCATTGCTCTTCGCCGTGTGTCTGGTGTACCCGCTGTGGATCCTGCGATTTGGCGGACTGCCCAGCTCAGATCTGGAGTCCGAGGTGTTCGGATTTCTGCACCAGTCGTACAACAAAGATTGCAAATATTGGGAAGCCGTTATCATGGCACGAAAGGGATTCTTGGCCGGTGTGTCTGTGTTCTCCTTCTCTCTAGGATCCGAAGGCATGAGCTTTCTATCCATCACCATACTTTTTGTGGCTGGCATAGCGCATGCATGGAAGAAGCCATTCAAATCGGATCGGCCGAATAGAATGGAAATTCTGGCTATAACCTCATCTATCATGGTTTTCTTTCTTGGGAGCCTCTTTGACAACCCCAATGTTCAGGGATCAAATCCAGCCAAGATCGCCATTTCTGTTGCTCTCATTGGGCAGATGCTAGCGTTTGTAGCTTACGTCTTTGTTCGCCTGTCGATCGAAAATTGGAGGGATCGATTTCACAAGCGGGAAAGCGCAGATGACGTTCTTGGGCGTACATCGGCGACGGGTGGACCGACTCTTCTGCCTGTGACGTCGAGTGAATCTAGCGCGTCGATAGGAAGCATGGGTGACAGCCATGGATACACCCAAAGAAGCCCGCTGGTGACTCGTAAGTCTCCTTTGTAATTGTGCCGTGACTGCGTATGCAAGAAGCTAGTTGCGATGCGGAACATCCGTTACTTCTGCAACCACAATCAATTGAGTGGACTGCATGCTCGGCTTCTTGCAAGCAGTGCCCAATCGTCATCCGGTTGGTGATGCGAGCTCTTTGCAGAGCTGTGTGTGTTACTTTTATTCCGTGGCGCAGTATAGCACAGCACTGCTACAACTGGCACGGGTCCGCCTTAGCTGTGAAACATCCGCCATACCCACATTAGGCTATGGCCGTTTCAGGATCGCTACTTCGTGGTCGGTCGCCAGCGGTTGGCGATCATTTTGCTATCGGCAACTATCCCGAAGCAGAAATTTTCTATCAAAATTTCTGCTTGGTTCACTTCCACGCAAACGGGTGCCTTTCGAGCCTGAATATCCTGTGATAAACTAAGGACCCTTTTAATTGGCAGCGATCAGTCCCACCTCAGCAACTGTTTGCTTTCGTGCTCCCGCCTTCTAATTGAGCGCATTTCTGCCTGTACCGCCACGCTATTATCACGGCTCACGAGCTGCTTTATGCGAGGATATCGGAAGGACATGGGCCCGCGGAGACCTATCTTCGAGGGTGGCTTTGCTTCCAGAATCTATTTGTTGTTGGCAACGCGCACGAGCAGAAGTCCTCAGGACATGGTTTGAATGCACGAGTTGCTGTTGCCGCTAGCCAGAGACCTTTAAACAACATAAGTTTCCTCGAGGACACGTGCCCATGGTGTACGAAACTAAAGATGCCGGACGTAATCAAAATGGCTAACATGGATTTATACGAGCCTCTGGTTCTGTCCCGGTACCCAATCGTATCAAATTGAACGTGCCACGGCTAGTGCATGCTTCCTGGTGACGGCTTTTCCGTTTTTTTCTCAGAAAAATCAATGAGGATGTGGATTGACTGTGCCTGGGTTACTAAAAGAAACCTGCTGTGTGGAGGCCGGAAATGGGAGGGAGGAGCAGAAGGTGTAGTGGTGGGGTACATTGCAGAGCCCATGGGCTGGGTAATGTACAACCACCCACTTGGCCACCCACCCTCGGGGATGCGCTTAAGTAGCTGCCATACTGCCGATGCACTGGTAGATTTACTTTTGTAGAGCCTACGCAGGCAGAGTCCACAAATGAAGTGGTTGCTGCTAGCTACTCGAGCGCATCGCCCATCCAACCCAATACCAGTGACGAAACAAACAGGTCATGGAACAACTTGTTGTATGAACGATAGATGGCAGGTTTTTCCATGACTTGCCACGAAAGGTGCCTCGCCGACCAAGTCGTTGGCCTACTGAATATCACCCGCATTCGTGACCTGATTTGTTAACAGGATACTTATTAGCCGCAGAGCTAAATGGTGAATAAACTTGATACATTAATTGCACGAAAGCCTGAAGTGCATTGCTGTAGACATAGCTCGAAATCTGAGATCCGAACACGCGGAAAGATTGCTGCAAAGTATCTTCATGCACAAAAATATTGGTAAGTTCTCAAAAAGGTTCATCCAAATGCCTATTAAATTGCTACACTGAGGTCGGCGTATCACTGCTGTCCCTTGTTGAGGCTACACAGCTACTCTAAAAGGGCTTGTCTGGCTCACCAAAATGCGCGGGTGAGAGGCAGCGTACATTGGCCTTTTCAGACCCGCACATACTACCTTGCAAACTCAGGAGCCCCGCTTATCCCATCCCACCCCATCCCCGGCCCCAGCCCGCCACCCACACCTTCCCTCCATCCATCGGATAACCCACACATCGATCGCCTCTCGCCATCACCATAAATTAGATATCCACATTATATATCCACAATCAATTCATTGCTAGGTCGTATCACTCGTCTGGACGCTGACCCATAATCTCAATATTATGCCTTTCGGTAGCTTTCCGCACTTCTCAATAGTGTGCCCGCCTCCGCGTACTCCCCCTTGTTCCACGTTTGCATCCCATTCTCCTGTCTCTTGCTTGCATCAATACCAGAAGGGAGCAAGAGCACCAGCCCACACAGCGCCTTGGAAGCATGGAAAACAGACGCGTTCGCATTCTCCAGCGCTCCGGAAACTGCTTTGGCACCTGAATAGACTTTACGCATCCGATTCTCAAGGGCGAACATTATTTCTTCCAAAAGCGCAAGCAACAAGTGGTCAAGTAAGTATAGAAAAACCACGAGTACCAGCGCGATCGCGATCCAAACGATTGCACGTTTGGTCGCTACCGATTCCTGCACATGGGGTCTGGTGACCATAATCCCCAACAAGAAAACCATGAAAGGGCAGAACAACGACAGCATCTCCGCTAGGTTGTACACGTTTCCTGGCCCACCGTACGGCATTTTCCACGCGTGGACAATTCCAGCCACCAAGAGAATGATCATGGACAAAAAACTCTGTGCGCCATTTCCCAAGGAGAACGAGAACACGGACACCGCTGCAAGCGATGCCCGCCGCACCATGACCACGGCCTCCCAGTATTTGCATTTCTCGTCGTACCCTACGTACAAGAAATCGTGACCACGGAGCATTTCCTCATACCTCCGCTCCATGAAGTTTTTCCTTTTCTCCATTCGACGAATTTTCTCCTTTCTTCCTGAAAATATCACAATGCCCACCCATAGAGGAAACCCCACACACACAAGAAGCAGCACCGGGACCACTGCTTTTACCAACGTCGAGTGCTCGCCTTCCCAGCAACGGACTTCAGTGTCTTCCATCCAGTAGTTTATTGGTGCGGCCGTCCTCGTATGTTGCAATTGTGAGATGCTCCAATCGGTGTCCACGGAAGCACAGTTGAAAACCTTCGCAACTTCATTCACGATGCTCAAGTAATTTGTATATAAGGAACACAGTACAGACACCCAAACGCGCCTGCCAAGGAAGTCAGTGGGGCGGCTCTTTAGATTCCAGTACATTGTCCAGGCACCAGAGAATAATGCTGCCTGCAGTAATGGCAATGCAAGGAAGGCGGCGATCTCCGCTGTGGAGCGAGACACAGGCACGTTGCTTGGAATCGCACACTGGAGGGAAGATACATATTGAGAACCCAAAGCAGCACTTCTGCCGGGAGCGAAAACTGCAGAAAGAAAAATTTAAATGTCAGTGACGAAAATTAAACAGAAAAAATACATAGAAGGGCTGTGGATTGACGAGTTGAATTCCAGCACACCTGTGCGTGTGAACAGTTCCAGCTATTTTGAACCTATATACACAGATGTAAAAAGTCACGCCTTGTGACGATTTTCAAGTGAACACATTCCATGTGTGATACAAATCAAGCCTCCCAAACCAAGTTCGGGCGTATAATTCCGGGCAGAATAAGTACTTCCTCCGTCCAAGATTAATTGTCCTATGTTTAAAAGATGAATTTCGTTACCTAAACCTCTTTGAAAGTACTAATAAATGTCAGAATCGAAAAGATTGGGTACCAAAGCCCTTGGCTACCAATTTTTGTGAAAAATACCTAACCCCACTACCTTATAGGCCCCTTGAAATTGCCTAAGATTTGGCCCAAAATTGTGCATTCTGATTCGGCGTTCGTTGGAGATCCACGTGGTTCTGGGTCGTTCCCGCCCCCGGCATGCCAAACCAAAGTTGTGCTTGCCATCGCAGCGAAGGGCGCCGTCCCTCTCGTTGTTTAGCGCTTGCCAAACACGCTCCACTGTGTCTGGATCCCCATCGAATAAGCCCGTTGTCACATCATCGACGATGGCAGAAATCGCTGCCCTCCTGGATCTCCGATGCAAGGACTTGCCACAAGCGGAAAAGGCAAACGCCCAGCACGCTCAAGCATGGGCTCTGTGTGTGCTATCGTTCTAAGGCTGTGCTACAACTTTTCTCTAACATAGCACCTCGATTGATCTTTGAATCGAGGCCTTCGTGTGTAGCTGGGCCCACACTCCCAAAATTGGCACTAGCGGCCAACTTGTACGTGCAGTCCGCAACCCTTCCCAGTCTGCATAGTCTCAACTTGTCAGAGAGAAACAAAATGATCTATCTGACTGCTCGCATCGCGTTCCACCTTTTCAATTGTCGCCGCAAGGGTCGACTTTGCAGTCCCCCAATCCAAGCCATTCCCCCAATCGTCCGCCATAGATTAGGGTGATGGCCATCACATTCCTTCGCACCTCGTCAAGGGGCTTGGGAGGCCTTGCGCGGTATCTCTCACAGCAGCGATGAAGTTCGAAAGGTCGCGGCCCAGAAATCTGGGCCGGGAATGCAACCCCGAGCTGGCCAATCGATCTCGAATTAGGTCAGCGAAGCCACGGCGACTTCAACGATCAAGCCCACCAAGACACGTGTTCTGCCGCTTTGCTTGTTCGCAGGGACCCCTCCAAGCTTCTGTCTAAACGGCATAGATAGTTTTGCACGGGCGGTCTTGTCTGACCGCTGGAAAGTCGTGCTCCTCCCCATCGCGAAAACGGCTGTTTCGGTGACTTTGTTGAAAAACGGGTGGGTTTCTGGCGGGAGGACCCTACTACAAAGTGCTGCCAAATCCTCAATACTAAACGGATTGACCTGAAATTTTAACCGTATAGTTCCAAAACATAGGCGTATCATTGGAAGAAATTTCATTGAAAAATGATATATCTGTGATACAGATGTAGGGCGGCAAAGTCATAGAGGACAATTAATCTTGGACGGAGGAAGTAGTTTTTTTATTCACCTCATTCAACATCATACCCATCCCTCACGACAATCGATACTTCCGTAACAACAGGGCTTGATGTGTGTGAGAGCCTTCAACAATTGCAACTGGCACATTACTTCTTTTGCTCACTTATGTCTGGATATTTTTTATTTTATTTTTTTTACCTATATAGACATTCTTCGCTGCGTATTTAACAACCGACGTCCGGAAATGGAAAACCCATACCACGAAAATCTATTCCCGGGGCTGGATGTTACTTTTAAAGAAGCAACTGATATCATTAGGATAGATTTCAAAGCAACTGCGGGTCACGCTAGACAACCCTACTGCGAGAAAACAAGTGAGATAAGATTTCGG